GAGAGAGAGAGAGGAGAAATAAGAAGTGAGAAGACAGAGCTATGAGGAGAAGACAGACAGGAGGAAAGCGAAAGACAAATAACAAAGCAAGAAAGAAAAGCAAACTCCCCCTCCCCTCCTCACACCACCCCATTACTCAAAACTGCAAATGGACACACCGCTTAAAGTTCTCCCCCCTCCCTCCTCTTCCCCCTCCCTCTCCCTCCCTTTCACCCCCCCTCACTCCGCAAAGAACCAACAACCCACACCGACAAAATGGTCTCGCCATCTCTCTCCTTCATCTCTTTCTCTCTTTCTCCCCCCCCTCCCCTCTCCCTTCCTTCCCATCCCCCCTTCCCTCCCTCCTCCTTCCCTCCTCCATAAATCGCCAACAGCACCAGATAAATCAAATCGCAGATCCTCGCCAGATCGTGTGAGTGAGTGATATTACCTTTCACTCGCCGTCGCGTTGCATAAGGCGCCTCGAGACATTAAGAAAAAAAAAAAAAAAAAAAAAAAAAAAAATTACTCGCAGCGATACACCGTTATGCGATCTGCTTCTATTACGCCTCGTGTTTCTTCTCGGCAATTGCAGTCGCTGGTATTGTCCTCGTTATATTTCTCCCGTTCGTTTGTCGTTTACGGAATGCCGGATATTCTCTCTCGTTAAGCCCTTCTTGATTAAATTCTTTGTTTCTTGCTCGTTGTCGTCATTTACATTATACTCATTAATTTTCTTGTCAAATTACCCATTCATTTTATACGTTTCAATTTTCTTGCTTATAATAGCCCCTTTACAACGATGGTGAGAGAGAGAGAGAGAGAGAGAGAGAGAGAGAGAGAGAGAGAGAGAGAGAGAGAGAGAGAGAGAGAGAGAGAGAGAGAGAGAGAGAGAGAGAGGAGAGAGAGAGAGAAAGAGAGAGAGAGAGAGAGAGAGAGAGAGAGAGAGAGAGAGAAGAGGAAGAGAGAGAGAGAGAGAAGAGAAGAGAGAAGAGAGAAAAAAAAACCTTACGCAAACTATCGAAACATTCCAACCATCACCTGATCAACATAAATCATGACATGCCCTTATCAACAACTGCTATCAAACGCCCTATCATCATTTCGTTTCCTTAATCAGGTATTATCCTTATCGCTGCTAAATCTCACAGCACCTGAAATTGCGTCACCTTTCTAATCCTCTTGGTAAGTTCGTGGTCTATTTTCAAGGCCGGAATTTGCTCGTTGGGAGAGCTCGTGTCCAGTTCTGTTATTTTCGGGTCACACGTTCGCATACTTGCATCTCTTGAGAGGGAGGGAGGGAGGGAGGGAGAGAGGGAGGAAGGGAGGAAATGAAGGGGGAGAGGGAGAGATGGATGGGATGAAGAGTGGGAGGGAGGGAGGGAGGGAGAAAGGAAAAGAGGAAGAGAGGGAGAAAGGAAAAATAAGATGCGAGAGGAGAAAGGATAGAAGAAGGGAGAAGGAAGAAAGGAAAAGGAAGGGAGGGAAGGAGAAAGAAAAAAAGGAAGGAAGGGAGGGAGGGAGGGAAAAAGGGATAGAGAGAGGAGAGAGAATGGAGGGATGGAGAGCGGAAGAGAAGGAGAGAGAAAGGAAAGCTGAAAATCGGACAAACAGACAGACAAACAGACAGAAACATAAACACAGATCCAAACATAAACAACCCGTCTTCGGGGAAGGGGGGGGAGGGGAGAGGGAGAGAGGGGATAGGTCCGCCACGTTTGATACTGTTAATTAAGTTCTTTGAATGTTCACCTCTCGTTCGGCAATCAAACGCGGGGATTAGAGCTGTGACTCCCCCCTACCCCCCCCTCCCCCTCCCTCCCCCCCCCCCAACATGCCAATAGCACCACCAACACCCGACCCAAAAGTTAATGAACTCTGACATTAATCAAGGCTCTTAATGGAAAAAATAAAAAAATAAAAAAAAAATAAAAAATAAATAAATAAACAAAAATAAAAATAAAACACGCGCGCATATAATTACACACACGGATTTTGGGGTCTGATCTAGTAGTTATTGCTGCACGTAGTATTATAGGACACTAATTAAGGTGTACTTAGAAAAGGGGTAAAACCGTTTATAACTGATTCTTTTTCAATTTCTAAATGTTCCTATTGTGCGTTTCCCTTCTATATGATTGTGAATAACAACAACAACAACAACAATAATAATAATAATAATAATAATAATAATAATAATAATAATAACAACAACAATAATAATGATAATAATCATATATTCTCTTCTTACAAAACAAAAACAAAAAAATAAAATCACTATCATTATGTGATCCCCCTTCCATCTCAAACTAACACAGATATGGAAAAAAACATCCAATTCTTTCTTTCTTTTATAATTTTAGTATCATGGTTAAATCTCATACATCCACCTGAAATCCTGGTCGAAAAATGACAAAATGAGAAAACACACACACACACACACATATATATATACATATACATACACGTGTGTGTGTGTGTGTGTATATATATATATATTATATATATATATATATATATATATATATATATATATATATATATATATAAATCTAAAAAAGCCATTTCCTACTGAAATCAACAAGCCTGACCCCCCCCAAAAAAACGCTGTATATCAGTCAATCACTTAATTATTCTCCACCGGGCTATCAATTATTCTGCACCTGTCAATCAATTACCGCGCGCCATAAATATACCTATACATGGCAATCATTCAATCAAGCTACCAATTAATTTCAATATCGTATAATAATGGCATATCTGGTTAGGGAAAAGAGGCCTTGATACCAAATCATCGTCACATAATAATTCATTGCAAGGAAGACTGATAAAATAACAAGGAAAAATGGAATGATAAAAAAGATATTATTTTCTCTCTCACCTCTCTCTCTCACTCTCACTCTCACTATATATATACGTGGTCTGTCTTTCTGTCTGTCTCTGTCTCTGTCTCTTTCTCTTCTCTGTCTCTCTCTGTCTTTCTCCTCTCTGTCTCTCTCTCTCTATCTCTCTCTGTATCTATCTCTGCCTCTCTATCTCTCTGTATCTGTCTCTGTCTCTCTCTCTGTATCTGCGTCTCTCTCTATATATATATCTATCTCTGTCTGTCTCCTTCTCTCTCTCTGTATCTGTCTCTGTCTCTCTCTGTCTCTCAGTCTCTAAATCTCTATACATTTCTCTGTTTTGTCTTCCTCTCTCTCTGTACCATTAGTCTAAATGATCAAGATCCCTTTTATTAATATAATTTCCGTTAGAATTCAATTCCATTTTCTTCATCCCCGACTTCCTCTATAAAACAAAAACATCTCTAAAACAATAATAATAATGATGATGATGATGATAACAATAATAACAACAAGAACAATTACTAAAATAATAATAACTATGATAATAGTTATGACTATAATGATTATAATAATAATAATAATAATATAATAATAATAATAATAATAATAATAATAATAATAAAATAAAAATAATAATAATACCAGCATTACTACTAATAATAAAATAAAACAACAATAATAATAATAATAAAAATAACAATAATAATAAAAATAACTCTAAAACAACAACAATAATAATAACTCTCGGCCTAAAACAACACATCCAGTATAATTAATGTGGCGGACTTTATTCCAGACTCTTGGAAATTTCAGGCGAAAACTTCTACAAGGTTATCTTTTCAAGTTTCCTCGATCAACGATTCAAAGAAGTTTAAAAAAGTTTTAATTCCTCCACATTTTTGGCTTCTGTATTCCGAGACAAAAGGTGTATTTCTAGCTTCACATATTTGCTTTACCGAATTTGGACTAACATTCACAATACTGAAAAAAAATATAAATAAATAAACACACAGGAGAGAAACATTATATATATATATATATATATATATATATATATAATATATATATATATATATATATATACATATACATTATATATATACACGTACGCGTGTGTGTGTGTGTGTGTGTGTGTGTGTGTGTGTGTGTGTGTGTGTGTGTGTGTGTGTGTGTGTGTGTGTGTGTGTGTGTGTGTGTGTGTGTGTGTGTGTGTGTGTGTGTGTGTGTGTGTGTGTGTGTGTGTGTGTGTGTGTGTGTGTGTGTGTGTGTGTGTACATAAATGAAATAGCAATAAATAATAAACAAATAAAATATCAACAAACAAATGAATGAATTACTATAAAAAATAATAAAAGATAAATAGACAAATTGATAAAATATCAAACAGAATATTAATATACAAATAAACAAAATGTTTATACACAAACAAATGAAATATCGATAAACCCCCCAAAAATTAATAAACAAAAAATAAAACATCAATAAACAAATAAACAAAAAATAAAATCGACAAAACATAGAATATTAATAAACAACCAAATAACATCTCAATAAATAAACATTCAAATAAAATAACAACCAAACAAATAAAGCATTAACAAACAAACAAACAAACACATCTTATAAAACAAACAAAAAGATAAAAAAAAAAAAAAAAAAAAAACAAAAAAAATGCTGCAACCTGCACTGAACCCTCTGGCCGGGCTCCTGATAACGACTCTGTGCAATATGCAACAAGGAGAGTAATGGGGCAGCTACTGGACAAGCTTTCAAAGGACGCGCGCTCTCTATCTATCTATCTGTTTGTGTTTATTCATTTTTTTAGCTTGTGTGTGTGTATTTTTTTAAATTAGTATTATTACTGCATTCTTTCATTCGTTTTCTTTCTCCTCTCTTCTTTGCCTTATTCCTTTCTTTCTTGATTAATTTCCTTTCTTCTCTCTGCTTTTCCCTTTATTCCTTCCTTCCTAACAACAATGAAAATACCAACAAAACTAATAATAATAACGGAATAAACAAATTTACATATACAAACAAAAAACACCAATAAAAACAAAATAAAAACAACAGAATAAACAAAACAAAACCAACAAACAAGCAACCCCCCCACCGAAGATCAGCCCCCTCCCCCCCCCTCCCAACCCCCCGGACCCCCAAACCCAGGGCCACACTCACCGCTCTCCAGCTGCCGGATCGCCTTGGCCTTGGCGAGCTCCAAGGCCGTGACCCACTTCTGGCGCTCCACCTCCGACGACGCCTTCAGGTGGAACGTCTGCGTGCCGCCGTTGCTGATGACGAAGTTGCACGAGTCCTCCGTGTGGATGACGGCGCCGTGCAGGCTGATGGTGCCGCGGCAGGTGTGCAGCATCTCGGCCTGCGACCTGGGAGCGGGGCAGGAGAAGAGACGCATTAAGGGAGGCATAGGTAGGGGAGTGGACGCTATGCCCCTTGGTATAGCGGGTTAATACGCTCTCTGGTACAGCGGGTTTGAGAGTGGACGGTACATTCTCTGGTACAAGGAGTTCAACAGCCTCTTGTTAAACACACTTCGTCCAGTCAGTGTATTCTTTAGGATTTAATAACAAATATCTTATAATTCCACTCATCCACACTTCACAGGGAGAAAGAGAAGTGAGTGAGTGAGTGAGAGTGAGTGAGAGAGTGAGATGATGAGAGAGAGAAATGGATGGATGGATGGATGGATGGATGATGGATGGATGGATGGATGGATGGATGGATGGATAGATAGACAGAAAGAGAGAGAGAACAGAGAAGAGAAAAACGAGAAAAGACAGAGAAACGACAAATAAAGACAAGACCAGAAAGAAACAGAAAAACAAAAGAAAAACATGGAGAAAGACAGACAAACACCTTCCCTTTCCCAACTTCCCGTTCCGCCACCCGACCGACAACCCACAAACCAGACAACAAACCGCAGTCAAACAACGAGCACAGAAAAAAAAAAAAAAAAAAAAAAAAAAAAAAAATCGAGTAAGACCTAAGAGCAATCTGGTCAGAGAAATCCTTATATTTTGAAGAATAACGAATTTTGAATCCTTATATTTTGAAGAATAACGACGCTCGAAATATCGTTCTGGCATTTATAGGTCATTTGATACGAACAAACTGCGTGATGCAAGATATTCAAAATTCGGTAAACCAACAATAAAAAAATGAAATAATGTGATGGATATATTGACGTGTTCGATAATTACCTAATGCATGCGGCAGATCTAATGTTGCAAAAACATTTATCGCGGGAGGGAGGTGTGGGAGAGGAAGCAGGGAGGAAGGGGGGAGGGGGGGAGGAGGGGGAGTAAGGGAGAGAGGGAGGGAGAAGAGGGGGAGGGAGGAGAGAGAGGAAGGAGGGGGAGAGGGAGGGAGGGAGGAAGGAGAAAGAGGGAAAGAGGAAAGAAAGAAAGAAAAAAAATATATATATATAACGTAGAAAAAAATCAAATTAAAGTAGAAACAAAGACAAACAAAAAAAACAAGGGAAACGCACACCAACCGACCGACCGACCACCAAGCCAAGCACAACGCGTTTTTCCCGGATCAGTTCATCACTGTCCTTCCCCCCCCCACCCATCCTCCCTCCCCCTATCCTCTCCTCCCCCTTCCCCCCCACCTCTCCCTTCCCCTATCCCTCCCAACCTCTCCCCTCCCCCTACCCCTCCCCTATCCCACCCACCTCCCTTCCCCTCCCACCCTCCCTCTCAATCACGCGGGCTAACCCGATTTTATCCAAGCGTTCGTGTATGCACTGCGGCCGCGATCTACCCCCCCCTCCCCACCCCCCCCCGCACATCAGGAAGACAAACACACGAGACCGAACGAGCGACGAACCAAGCCGACCCACCTTCCGCCATTGGCAAAAATTGCGTGAGGGGCAATTTCTCGCTTTGTTGCTGGTGATCGTTTGTGTGTATAATTGATTGTGTGTGATTGTGTCCGTGAGTGAGTGTGAGTGTGAGTGATTGTGTTGAGTGTGAAAAATGAATGAAATGTGAAGAGTGTTGTGTGAGTAAATGAATAAAAATGTGAGTGAGTGAGTGAGTATGGGCGCGCGTGTATGTTTGTAAAAGTCATAGAGTACTTTGTGTGCGTGTAATCACGTGCTCTGAGTTTAGGGACAAGAATGAGTCAGCAAAGGAATTCTATTTATTCTTGGCAACTCATTCCCAGTAACAAGTCTTTCTCTTTCTTCCTTTCTCTTTTAATTATTTACTCTCTCTCTCTTTATATATATACGTGTGGTGTGTGTGTGTGTGTGTGTGTGTGTGTGTGTGTGTGTGTGTGTGTGTGTGTGTGTGTGTGTGTGTGTGTGTGTGTGTGTGTGTGTGTGTGTGTGTGTGTGTGTGTGTGTGTGTGTGTGTGTGTGTGTGTGTGTGTGTGTGTGTGTGTGTGTGTGTGTGTGTGTGTGTGTGTGTGTGTGCACATAAATCGTTCCCTGTCTCACTTTCTAATTCTCTTTCTCGATTTTCCTCTCACGGGGTTTGGATGGAAAAAAATCGGCGTTTCAAATGAACTTCAAAGTTGATCTTTTTTCATAACTTATTTTTCATTTTTCCGCAACCCTTGTTCGAAACGATTTCTCCCCCCACCCCTCTCTCTCTCTCTCTCTCTCTCTCTCTCTCTCTCTCTCTCTCTCTCTCTCTCTCTCTCTCTCTCTCTCTCTCTCTCTCTCTCTCTCTCTCTCTCTCTCTCTCTCTCTCTCTCTCTCTCCCTCCCTCTCCTTTTAATAGTGAAGGACAGGCCTGGTAATTTCAGCTTGGAAAGAAAGTTTGAGTAGATGAGTAAATGAGGAGGATACAGGGACAAGATAAGGATGGGAGAGAACGATAGGAAGGGGCACGAAGGGAGGGAAGTGAGTGAGTAAGTGAGTGAGTGAGTAAGCAAGTGAGTAAATGAGTGAGTGAGTGAGCAAGTGAGTAAGTAAATGAATGAGTAAGTGAGTGAATGTATCTCCGTATGCACATGCGCGATAATGAGTGCGTGTGTCTCAACGCGTGCAGCATCCTCATAAGCGTACACGCCAGCGCTCGCGTCCCTCCATACGCTAGCGCTCGTACCGGAATCCGAATCCCTTCGCTAACCCTTCACACATTCAGAGCTCGCGGCGACCGGCTGTTGTCGGGTCAAACGAACTCCAATCTAATCACGACGAAGGTGAAGAGCTCACAGACAAACCCGATAACAATAAGAAAAAAAATGTATCTCTAATCAGTCCCGCCTATCTGGTCTCCACTCCGACCTTTGCTCTCGGCTTTGGCTCCTACTGCTGCCCACGCCCTTATCTGGATCCGGTGTCTCTGGCATTTAAAAGCTTAAACGCGTTAAATGACCCACGGAAATTTAAAAGAGCGAGAGATAAAAATAGCAACATATACATACATACAAACGTATTTACGTATGTAAAAAAAAGAAAGAAAGAAAGAAAGAAAGAAAGAAATCTATCTATCTATCTATCTATCTATCTATCTATCTATCTATATATACATACATACACATACATAAATACATATACATGAATTTATCAAACATGACAGTATATGCATCACGACCACAGCTGCTATCGTTGAAGGTCTACGGTAAAATCAACCATTTTTCAACAAAGGAGACTATTGTGGACAGCACAACACCCGTGCACATTCCATAGCGGATAACAACGATGTACTGGCGCTGTGCAAATAATCCTTTCGAATCCACCCCAGCAAAGAGATATGTGATTTCCTCTCCTGTGTCTTCTATCTCAAGTTTACACACAAACAACATAGACGTTTGAAGCGAAGATTAACGACAAGACGTTCCCGACTTCGCCCGAGTGGCATATTAAAAATTCAACCTTCTTTTAAAAAAGCCTTGCGATGTGGCGAGGAGAGAAGCCGAACCTTAATTCGGTCTTAAAAGAAAACGCGGCGGAACGTTGGAACGCTCGACGCCCTCCCTGATCACGGCTGCTACTCTAACTTGATACAACAAACTTATAATTCATTCATTGGCGGAAAATGGTCCAATACTGTTTGTTAGTTGCCTTGTGTCGACTAAACTTTCGACGAAATTTGAGACTAAAATTAATGCTCTTGCCACTGCTGCTAATAAGTCTAAAAGTAAGTAATATTAGTAATAATAAAGCTAATAAAAATAACAATAATAATAGTTACATGCATTTTAGAGTGTGATTCGCGTCATCACCATTACCATTCATTCGACATACCACTGCAACCATCCCCACCAAAACAATAACAAAAAACAAAAAAAAATACCCCCCCCACTTCCTAGCACAACACACCACAAAAACAAAAAGCAAAATCCCCAACACCGCCACGAATGAGTAACCCCTGAGAGTAACAAGGAGAAGGTGAAAGGGAAGACAAGTTCACACCCCGAGAGAAAAATGGGGGAGGCAAAGAGACCTTCTGCCAGGTGACCATCGCATGAGTTAGGTGACAGCGGTCGCGAGTAGGAAGGGGGGAAGGAGGAAGGAGGAGGAGGAGGAGGAGGAGGAGGAGGAGGAGGAGAGGAGGAGGAGGAGGAGGAGGAGGAGGAGGAGGAGGAGGAGGAGGAGGAGGAGGAGGAGGAGGAGGAGGAGGAGGGAGGGGAGGAGGAGGAGGAGGAGGAGGAGGAGGAGGGGAGGAGGAGGAGGAGGAGGAGGAGGAGGAGGAGGAGGAAGAGGAGGAAGAGGAGGAGGAGGAGGAGAGAGGAGGAGGAGGAGGAGGAGGAGGAGGAGGAGCAGGAGCAGGAGCAGGAGCAGGAGCAGGAGCAGGAGCAGCAGCAGCAGCAGCAGCAGGAGCAGAAGAGAGAAGACGGTGAAGAAGAGGAGGAGGAGGAGAGGAGGAGGAGGAGGAGGAGGAGGAGGAGGAGGAGGAGGGAGCAGGAGCAGCAGCAGCAGCAGCAGCCAACAGCAGCAGGAGGAGCAACAGCAAGCAGCGGAAAAAAGAAGGAGGAGAAGTAGGAGGAGAAGGAGAAAGGAGGGGAGGGGGGATCATAAATCTCCAGAGCAGTGGTACCCAACCTTTTTTTCATTTTGTGAACCCCGGACGATATATAATAAACTCCATGGCCCCTTTCAGTGCCTGTCATCTTTTTAGATTCAATTATTACTAGTATGAATAGTTTAATGGTGCCAATATCTATAGGACGAGGGCACTTTATGAAAAGATTCCAATTTATTGATATATGAGAGAGAATCCTATATAGGTAATGTAGGTGAGATTAAATTCAGTTTAATTTGTCGTCAAATTTTTCATATTGCTCCAAAATTTTCTTATTGATTCATGGTCCCCCAAAAAAGTATCCCGTGGCCCCAAGCTTGGGAGCGCCTGCTTTTGAGGAATCCAACTGTGTGTGTGTGTGTGGTGTGTGTGTGTGTGTGTGTGTG